TTTTAATAATAAAATAGTATCATGGATATTCACAAAATGTGACTAGCAAAGGTCTTCAAGCCCGTGGAGGTTCTAAGTCACACCTTGAAAATGCCAATATGTGAAAAATTAAATTTTCACAAAAAAACTGTTTAATTGCCAGAAAAATTTACCAAACAGACTGCATTGCCTACTGAAGCTATATTTAATCCCATGTTTCTTTCTGTAAGTTTGAGAACAGTGAGTAACATGATTTTCCTTAAATGGTCATCATGGGAGCAGTACCCAAAATAGGGGTTTCTTCAAATTTTGATGCAATATTACATAATGTTTAACTGCATAATGACCATCAATTTTTAATAATAAAATATTAGTATCATGGATATTCAGAAAATGTGACTAGCAAAGGTCTTCAGGACCATGGAACTTCAAAGTCACATCTTGAAAATGCCAAAATGTAAACAAGACAGCACTTTTCTGCAATGGGTTTACTTCCATTTTTAAAACACTTTTTTAACATAAAACAAAATTAACAGTTTATTGCCATTTTTATATGACCAACTAAGAAAATTGATGAGATGGGAAAATATCAATAGAACAGTGTTAAATGTCCAATTTCCTCCATTCTGAGATTCTGAAGATAGTGGATGATTGAATCTGACAAACTGCAATGATATGAGTTTATTTCCATTTTTGACACTTTATAACATAATACACGATAACAAGTTTATCATCATTTTTACATAATCAACTAACAATGTTATAAAGATGCAGGAAACAAACACTTTTACGTATGTTATTAGTTCAATAATGAGACTGTTAACATGCCTAAGAATTGAATCTGAGGAAATGTGAAAAACAGCATAACTTCTAAAATAATGGCCCGCTTATGCTGATTTTTCAACTCGTCCTATGTTTTAGTAAGATTGACCAGTCCTGTGAGTATAATGATAATTTGCCCATCTGTTTTTCTTATATTGTGTTATCAGTGCTGCATATATGCTGAAAAAAGTGAAAAAACAGCATAACTTCCCTTAAAATGGCCCGATCATGCTGACTTTCGTAGTTGACCTGCATATTATGAATATTCATCAATTCTGTAAGTTTCAAGCCAAAAGGTAAAACGGTTTTTCACTTATTGTGTTATTGGTGTTGCATATATGCTGAAAAAAGTGAAAAAACAGCATAACTTCCATAAAATAGACTCGATAGCTCTGATTTTCGAACTTGACCTGCATATTATGAATATTCATCAGTTTTATAAGTTTCAAGCTAAAAAGTAAAAAGGTTTTTCACTTATCGTGTTATCAGTGTTATAATAATGCTAAAAAAAGTGAAAAAACAGCATAACTTCCCTAAAAATCGCCCGATCATGCTGATTTTCGAACTTGACCTGCGTATTATGAATATTCATCAGTTCTGTAAATTTGAATACAAAATATAAAACGGTATTCCACTTATCGTGTTATTGCTGAGTGCACGGCGATGCCTACGGCGACGGCAGACGCAGGTGACGGCTATATGTACAGATACATCTGTGTCTGTACATAAAAAAGAGCAAGTGAATCACTGAGGCTGTGCTAGAAAAGTAATGAGCTTACCTTCCTGCCAGCGACGGCAGACGCAGGTGACGGCTATATGTACAGACACATCTGTGTCTGTACATAAAAAAGAGCAAGTGAATCACTGAGGCTGTGCTAGAAAAGTAATGAGCTTACCTTCCTGCCAGCTTGGTGGGTAGAACATGTCTGCAGGAAAGTAGACACCAGTATTGAACCATGGCGTCTGTCTAGCTTTGAAGGTCATCCCATGGCTTTGGTCAAGTATCTCTCCAGGGAAGAGGGTTGGGTCCCGACTGTCCTCACTCACACAGTGGGGGCACTCCAGGTATTTGTCATATGATGGCCCAGGCCAGTCCTTTTTAGTGATGTCCATGAGGACACTGTGACCTTGCTTGAGAACACCCCACATATCTGAGAGATGTGATCCATGGGCAGCAATGCTGATAACCCAGTCTGGATCTTGGCTGACTGTATCACTATTTGACTGGTGTGGCCCCCGTGTCAGCTGCATTTTGTATCGCTCAAGTTCTCCATCCTTCCAGTCCATTTGCATGGTCTTCATGAATCCAAGGTGCTTGTACAGACAGACAGAAAATTTCTCATATAAGCCATCTGGACATCTGTATGGAAAGAGAACCTGTTGGGTAAGTTGTGTGGTGTCTGGGAGAATCTTGCTAGACCATTTGGCATTTGTCTCAGGTTGTCTTTCTTCAGTGAGAAGCCATGGGAAGTGGAATGAGGATAGAATGGATTCATCTTTATGGGCTTGATAGCAAAGCTCCAATTTCTGCATCATTTCTATCATGGCCTCAACGTTGGTGCTTGACAAACTGAAGGGCTGCCACAGGCAATCCTTAGCTTGTTTAGAAATGATTCCTCTGCTGAAGATGTCTTCTTCCATTCTGGTTGCTTTCTTTCTTGTAATCTTCATGGACTTTTGGAGCATTTGTGATACTTCAACTTGATCATGGATGAGGACTGCCTTGAGAACATTTACAATAACCTCTTTCTTGTGGAAAACAACTTTCATCAGCGAAAGGCTATTATCAAACCATATTTTGTCTCCATGGTGGGCCAAGAAACTTGAAATGTCACAAATTATTTTCTCATTTTTTCCCTGTGACAATTTGGGCATGTTTTGCAGAATGAGGTCTTCAATCACCTCCCAGCCAAGTGTGTTCTCAGTGCCTTCAATTTTCTTGGTACAGATTTTCTTAGCTGCATACATTCCTGGCAAAACTTCGGCACTTGTCCTGGCAAAAGAAATGAGATGCTCATAGATGGGTTTCATTTGACCATACAAGGATTGCAGATGAGCCGCTTTCTTTTGGTAGACCTGGCAGATAAACACTTGGGCTTCAGATATTTCTTTAATTTTTTTCTCACTTGTCTCCTTTTGTGCTTGATACCACTTTTTCTTTTTACTTACATGGTCTTCAAGCTGCCTGGTTATTGAAGAGCATTTTCTTTCAGCATGTAGGGTTTCAACCTCATCAAGGTGAGTTCCAATTAGAGCTATTTGTATCCTTGGCATCTGTTCTTGCACCTTGTCAATCCAGTTTGGAATGTTGAGTTGATAATGAGCTTCATTTTTGGGATCATATTCAGACAGATTGAAAGTGATAAAAACCAAGCCACTAGTGGAGATAAACATTTTAAAGACATCATGTCCACCAAAGTCACTGATATTGAAGGCAGCCTCCCATATCCCTTGTTCTACCACTCCTATCCTGTCTGCCATCTTGGTGAGGGTTGACTGTTCGAATTGCAATGTACGTGAAATGCTAATTTTTCCTGCGTCTGTTTCACCCAAAAAGTTCACCTGTAATCTTGATGAATGGATTGCCTTGGTGTCAGTTAATGCCTCAAAATACCTTTTTATGGCACCTAGCCCCCTGTTGGCAATTTCTATAGGTGGTTGTACCAGAGGATTATGATTTTCCATATTCTTAAACTGTGGTGGCAGGTGACTGATGTTATTGTGGTGCAGGTCAAGGCTCTCTAGATTGGTCAACCTGGTGATATCCACTGGTACGTCAGATAGCTGGTTGCCAGACAGATTTAGAACCTCTACGTTAGTCAAGCCACACAGTGCTATGGGGAATGAAGTGCAGGCATATTTATTAAGGCGGAATATTATGAGGGCCTTCAACTTGGAGATATCCACTGGTATGTCAGATAGCTGGTTGTCACCCAGGTACAGCACCTCTATGTTAGTCAAGCCACAGAGTGTTGTGGGGAGTGTAGTAAAGGCATAGGAATTGAGGTGGAATATTTTAAGTGTCTTCAACCTGGAGATATCTACTGGTATGTCAGATAGCTGGTTGTCCCCCATTACTGAACATACATGTCTTTTGTTGTTCTTTTCTTTGTCTGAAATTGAAAAAAAAAAAGATAAATTGATAGCAAAATAGATTGTTAGAAATAGGTTATGCACAGAAGTGTAAATTGGGTTTTGTTGCCAAAATAAAACAATTTTATCACTACTTCCCTCTGATGACAGGTACTTTGGTTTAAACTTAGTCATAAGTCCTTAGTCATTTGTTGTCTTTGTCTGAAACAAAAATATCGATAATTACAAAGTGTGACATGCCCCTCTTTGTTTGAATTAATCAGCTATGCACAGCAATGTCCTTTATGGCATTTTGTTGCTAAAAAGCCCACCAATAAGTCATTTCCTTTTGGTCATCAACAATTCTGTACTATGAATGATACCTTAAACCAAGAGAAACTGGAAATATTTTGCAAAAATATGACATATATAACAAACAACATTTTTGTGACAGCAGTACTTTTCACTTCACAAAAGGCATGAGAAAGGCTAGTTATAACAGACCTTCAGAAAACAGGAAAATTGGAAAAATATTTTTCAAAAAATAGGGAAAAAACAGGAATTTTATCCAAAAAGTATAGGAAAAATAAGAATTATTCTAAAAGAAAGATGGCTTCCCAACACCTCTAAAGCCATACTGGTGTAACACACCTCTTAACTAGTAATTGTAATAAATAACACTATTTAAGGTTACAACAATAATTTACCTAACAAACTTTCAAACAACATAAAATACCAAAGGCTCTGTCACAGGTAAATAGGTACATTCATTTCAGTATGTGACATCAATTATATGCAAAATTTCGAAGCTAGTATTTGTAATCACCATTTCCAGCATATTAAAATAAAGATTTATGAAGCATAAGGAATTGTTTTTGAACATACCCAAAATACTTTATTTCCCTCTGATTATGTGAACATAACTCGAGACGTAAGTCTAACGTACCCCTTATAACTGTCTGCGCATGGGTCATTTTTTCTCATAATCATACATATGTGAACTCATACATACACAGTGATAGTGTCTTAATTAAACACTATTTCAGCCAGAAATCAAACTACACTCATACAGCATTCGAAGTACATTCTAAATATCCTGACTGCATTCTGACAGCATTATCGATATTCCTAGTTTTCCAGCTACATGCGAGCTGGATTTGAGAGCTACTACAGCAGAAATGTGCACGAATCATTCCAGGCCGATTCAAGTGCATTCTGAGTATTCCAATGGCATTCTTACAAGAATTTAGGTCAATTTCTTCCCAAATGTAGTACGCATTTTGAATGTTATTCATTCTAATCAGTTCTGCTTGATTCCTGCTGATTACAAATAAGTGTGATATGGCCTTAATGATTAACTGTATAAGAACCACCAATTTTTGATTATCTACCATTAATATCATGGACATGATTTGATTTCCACTGGGCTACATGCCCTTGGGTGTTCTAAGTCCCACACTGAAAATGCCAATATGTAAAAGATAAAAATTTCACAAAAATGTACAACAGAATAACATGGTCAATAAGATTACAGTTTCAGGACCATATGTGAGAAATGATGACATTGCATAAAATGTTCAAAGACATGAAAACCAATCACACTGATTTTCAAAGACAAGCTGCAATTCAGTCCTATGAAACTTTTCAGTAAGTACCATAAGCAACATGGTTTTCCCTTGATGGTCATCCTGGCAGCAATGTCCAAAATAGGGTTTTCTTCAACTTTTATGCAATGTAACATAATGCTTAACAGAATAATGACCATCAGTGTTAAATAATAAAGTAAAAGTATCATGGAAATTCAGAAAATGTGACTAGCAAAGGTCTTCAGGACAATGGAAGTTCAAATTCACACCTTGAAAATGATGATATGTGATATGTCCAATTTGCTCCATTCTGGAATTCTGAACATAGTGAATGACTTTTATAAAAAATGCCTATTCATGCTATATTACGAACTTGACCTGCGTATTATGAATATTCATCAGTTCTGTAAGTTTTAAGCCAAAAGGTAAAACGGTTTTGAGCTTATCATGTTATTGGTGTTGCATATATGCTGAAAAAAGTGAAAAAAAACCAGCATAACTTCCATAAAAATGGCCCGATCATGCTGATTTTCGAACTCGACCTGCATATTATGAATATTCATCAGTTTTGTAATTTTCAAGCCAAAAGAAAAAACGGGTTTCCACTTATTGTGTTATCGGTAAAAGTGCATGACAATGGCGACGACATAAAAATTAAAACCATTGGACTTTCCTTAAAATAACATTTTATTTTATTTTATTGTAAGAGGATTCCTTTTGTATTTATAGTGTTATATTTGGCCCCAAGGGAATTTTCCACCCCTCCCCCACTCTTGATAAGGACATAGTGCTTGATCGCTAGTGTGAATGTTATTACTTATTGCATTCAGAAATGTTGGAGGGTAATTTTAGACACTTCATATCAGAAAACCCACCATGTTGGCGAAATTTACCGATGTAGTGCTTTAAACTTTCACTGCCACAAAATGATCAACAAATTTAATTTGTCGAAAGTGAGGCAATGTGTGGAATCCTGCATAAATTCCACATTGTGTAGTCATAGTTAATCAACATACTATTATCTAATTTGCGTCTGTCCTGCATACATAAATATTATTTTCTGTAGAAGCCCATAGGTATAGGCCTATGCCTGAGGCAGATCCATATGGGGGCGTCTCAATAGTCCGAAGGTTCATTGGTCCGAAGGTTCATTGGTCCGAAAATTTGCAAATTTTTCATCAGATTTTCAACAAAAAGGTTCATTGGTCCGAAGGTTCATTAGTCCAAAAATTAAAGGTCCATTGGTCCGAAGGTTCATTAGTCCGAAGGTTCGATAGGCCGAAGGTTCGATAGTCCGAAGGTTCATTAGTCCGAAGATTCGATAGTCCGAAACATTTTAAGATGTTCTTCGGTTTTAAGAATTATAATTACAAACGGAATCTAAGGGTGCGTATCCAACAAAACTATCATTCTACGTAGATTGATCAAACTCCACCAGGACTCTCACTGTATGCAATCAGATTAGCAATCCTGGAGCTGCTAGGGGGTGATTAACTTTCGTGTGAACTCAGCTTCTAGAATCTTTATCATTTCGAATTCGTTTTGAGTGCGGCCGAAATGCACATGAAAATTATCTATATAGGTCGTATTGTTTCCATCAACTACTCTTTACAATGTGGGGAAGTTTGGGGATATGCAATGGCTACCCTTTCCAACTCATGAACACCATACATGTTTCACATGAAATATTGAATAAAGATTGGAACGCATAAAATGAGAGGACGCCTATAATGACATTTAATCGAATGGCCTGTGCTATTAATTCTTGAATTGTATAAGAAACTGATAAAAATGGTTTCACGCTCCATCAAGGCTACTTTTAAGCGCACTCTGGATATTTTCATAAGAAAAAAACGGGTGTTTCAATTAAGAAATTTTTTGGATTGCGGGAGAGTCCCGTTTTTCTAGAGACCGATGCGGTTCACGTCCACTCTGTACTCATGAATATCAAGCCAACAGTTTCGTACAAAATCATTGATAATCTACTTTTCAAGACTGGATGAATAGGTCGGTGCAAGAAAGGCAGTTAACAGACAACTCCACCCTCCAGCGACCAATAACCGTACCACCAGCGTGAGCGTGGCGGTAGACATGGGCTTAATCCCGACCCATCTCGTACGGCCTTCACCAGTTCCGCGTCATGGGGGATACAATTAACCGTTACCGTTTCTTCACCTAGACTAAGCCAGAGTTGCAGGGGAGAATGCCTATGGGCGGCGGTTTATACAAAAATTCAAACACGATTAGTCGTCATTGTTGTCAGATCAGTCGAATTGAAAACACGATTAGTCGTCGTCGTTATCAGATCAGTCGAATTGAAAACACGATTAGTCATCGTCGTAATCAGATCAGTCGAATTGAAAACACGATTAGTCGTCGTCGTTATCAGATCAGAAGGCAAAATACAACTAGTAGTCGTCAAAACGCAACTAGTAATCAAAACGCGCCCATTGTACGAAAATCTAGGCCAAGTCACATGATCCACAGTGATCAAAATGGCGGACATTATTGAAGCAGCATTATCATTCCTCGCTCGAACTCGAGAATTATCTCTACGCGTACAATCTAATAATGATATTATATATATAATAATATCTCGAACTCGAGATAATTGTGTTTTCAATTCGACTGATCTGATAACAATGACGACTAATCGTGTTTTCAATTCGACTGATCTGATAACGATGACGACTAATCGTGTTTTGAATTTTTGTATAAACTGCCGCCCATAAATGCCCTAATATGTTATTTCTGATGTTATTATTGTGAGGAAACGTTTTCAGAGTCATCTGTAAGTTGATAGGGAAAGTAAGTATTATTTGTGATTTCATTTATTTTTTATCTACTGTTTTACATTTCCTTTTTATTCAGGAGTTTCTGGGTGTATTTACCTTGATTATTTAATTTAAGCTCTTCGTATAATTATTTGTTTTCTCCATTTCTGTAATTATTTTATTTCTGCAACTGTCTTTATTCAGTTTTTAGTTCACCATAAAATAGATCAATTAACTTCTACTCCCACCGTTTTGAATAGTGGTAAGCAGGTGTGCAATACAAAAATGTACTTGATATACCGCAGACACAAACCACATGTATGATATACTATGTATATACTATGTAAGATAAATCAACATATATAAGTCACTGTGAGTTTGAAAAAATTTTCTGGACATGCAACAGCAGCCTGTCTGTTATGAAAAAAAGAAAATGTTGGTTATACAGACATCTCCTCGATTACAGAACTATACTGTGTCTGTACATATTGCTGTCACCTGCATCTGTCGTCGCCGTCAGCGCCGTGCACTTTCCTTATAAACACGATAAGTGGAAGGCAGTTTTACTTTTTGGCTTTATATCTATAGAGCTGATGAATATTCATAAAACGCAGGTCAAGTTCGAAAATCAGCATGATCGGGCCACTATTTTAGTAGTTATGCTTTTTTTCACTTTTAAGGATATATGCAGCACTGTAAACACAATATGAGAAAAACAAATTGGCCAATTGTCATTAAACTCACAGGAATGGTCAATTTTGCTAAACGCAGGTTGAGTTTGAAAATCAGCATAATTGGGCCATTATTTTAGAAGTTATGCTGTTTTTTCACATTTCCTCAGATTCAATTCTTAGGCATGTTAACAGTCTCATTATTTAACTAATAAGATACATAAAAGTGTTTGTTTGACATTTCCTGCATCTTTACAACATTGTAAATTGATTGCTTAAAAATGATGGTAAACTTGTTATCGTGTATTGTGTAATAAAGTTTCAAAAATGGAAATAAACTCATATCATTGCAGTTTCTCAGATTCAATTATTCACTATGTTCAGAATCTTGGAATGGAGGAAATGAGACATTTAACACTGTTGTATTGATATTTTCCCCATCTCATCAATTTTCTTAGTTGATCATATAAAAATGGCAATAAACTGTTAATTTTGTTTTATGTTAAAAATTGTTAAAAATGGAGAAAAAAAAAACATTTCAGAACAGTGCTGTCTTGTTTACATTTTGGCATTTTCAAGTTGTGACTTTGAAGTTCCATGGGCCTGAAGACCTTTGCTAGTCACATTTTCTGAATATCCATGATACTAATATTTTATTATTAAAAATTGATGGTCATTATGCTGTTAAACATTATGTAATATTGCATCAAAATTCGAAAAAAAAAACTATTTTAGGCACTGCTCCCATGATGACCATTTAAGACAAGGCAGCAAAGCTGTCAAATGTACAGACAAAAAACAGGAAATAACTATGCACAAAATAGGCTACTGTCAATTCTGATGCAAAAGTATGTTATGTTAAACTGCAAATTCAATATCAAATCTTAATTATGTTCAACAGGTAATACCAATGCAAGTAAAATGTGTAACAAGCATAAGGCTTCAGGCCCATGGGAGTTCAAGTTCACACTTTGAAAATGTATAACTTCCAGAAAAAGAAGCCAATTAGACTGATTTTCCAACTCAGGCTTCATTTTAGTCCTGTATTTCTTTTTTGAAAGTTTGGCAATCATAAGTAACATGGTTTTCCCATAATGGTCATCATGGCAACAGCACCCAAAATTGTGTTTTCTTCTATTCTGATGCAATATTACATAATGGTTAACAGCATAATGACCGTCAATTTTTAATAATAAAATATACGTATCATGGATTTTCAGAAAATGTGACTAGCATGGGTCTTCAAGCCTTGGAACTTTCAAGTTCAAAATCACTCCTTGAAAATGCCAATATGTGAAAAATTAAATTTTCACAANTAAATGGTCATCATGGGAGCAGTGTCCAAAATAGGTTTTTTTCAAATTTTGATGCAATATTACATAATGTTTAACAGCATAATGACCATCAATTTTTAATAATAAAATATTAGTATTATGGATATTCAGAAAATGTGACTAGCAAAGGTAGTTTCTTATACGACTCAAATAAATTCGACATGGCAAGGGATAAACTGAATAGATCAATCGAGCAGTCATAAAAGAGCTTTAGACTGCTCCTTTCTTTAAATTTTTGGTTGGAAATTTAACCTACTTTTGTGACCTACTTTTCTGCCCCATTGACATACAGCATAGAATGCTAGCAGAAAAATCCATTCAAACATCATTTTCAGGTAAAAGTAAACAATGCCTTTTGGTAATTCTCTTAGCTATACTATCTGAAACTATATGCTGGCATCTGGTTGGTTTTTGTGACAAAAAATTGACTTTGTATCAGGGGCGTAACCAGGCATACGCACAGATGCACTGTGCCAGGGCTTGACATTAAGGGTGGCCCACTGGCCCTGGGCCACTGAAAACCAACCTAGGGCCATTGATTCGCTGGGGTCACTGGCCCAAAGAGCAAGTAAAATGTCATGTGTCAAATCATCCTTGCAACATTTACCAATATCTCGGGCCAGTATCAAAAAAAGTTAGTGTCAAGCCATGTGTGCGTACAATTTTTTGAGCCAACCATGATATTATTCTCCATAAATTCAGTGTATTTTTCACAGAATATAATCGTATCTGTGAATTTTCAAAATCTGTGCGTACAATTTTAAAAGGTCTGGTTACGCCCCTGTGTATGCATCTCTAATTATAGTGCACTAGTCTTGTTATCTGTTGAAAATGCCATACCTGCTGCATGCAGTGGATCAGTAAGCAACTTGTCATAGTCATCTCTGGTATATAGTGTGGAAAGTGATAACAACAAAGCTTTCAATTCTGTAAACTGGGTCTGAAATGCAGCATCTGTGAGACTGGCGCCCCGATGTGAAAAATCATGGCAGTATTTCTTCACTCTGCCAATCTGGGCCTCCATGGACGTGTCAGTTAACGGTGGACTCTCCCAACTGCCTTTTGGGTTTAGTGCCGTGATATTTCTTAACAAGACTACTGTAAGAGACACATCTAAGTCCTTCAATGTCACAGACGTGGAGGGATTCCCAGATGGGTATAGAAGATTCATTTGGCTTGCATTCAAAACTTTCATTTTTTTCAACTTCAGCAAAGTATGCTTTGCCTTTTGGTCAGTTAGAATATCAAACAACTAGCTGCCATTTGACGGATCAAACAACCCTGGATAAGTTGTTTGTAACTGTGTACTGAGGAGATCTTGAAGCACATAGTTTGACCGATGTTTCAGTAGCCCCATACGCATTGTGTTTTCTATCTCATTACGTGGAGTGGCTGCAGTTGCCATTTTGTCTTAGGTCTGGAAAATAAATGTTTTTCAAAAGGTGCTGAAAAAAATTCGTTTGATGTTCTTCAAGATTAAAATTATATAAAACCCCTTTTCTCTTCCATATACTAATTATAATCAAGTGAGACGTAAAAAGCGATCACATTCGATCATATTCACTGACAAAGTGAGCTAGCATTGTATCCATCTCAAACGAATAGGGTGATTCCCCCATGGGAAAGAGAGTGGTCCATCCGCAGCCCACGCTGCCAAGCACATGCAAGCATGCCAGGGCAAATGTTTTCTGCTAAACTTGGACGCCTGACCCCTTTCTCAAGAACAATTAATCATATAAAAGGCCAAGATAGTGATGCCTGATCTTAAAAGGTATGTAGACACTGTTATTTGTTCTTTTAGGGAAAATAATGATGCTAGTGCATGGAAATGAGGTCACCTGATTCACTAAGTAAAAGAGATTTCAAAATTATAGGACTGAATCTAACGCGTAATTAGTGGTGATTGTAATGCGTACTTTCGTTTGTATTCAGCTAACACGCAGTAGAAGCTTGGTCTGTGGTGTATGAACACAATGTTTTACAGATTCTAAATATACAATCAGCATTAATGCGTTGAGTACACTAATGGAAGTTATCATTACCAGTTACAGTTTTGATATCATCATTTTTATTATTTCAGATTCTGATATTGCTGATTCCTGACCAGGAAGCTATTCATTTCCATGCAAAATTGAGACTGATACAGTGAAGTGGCAAGCATGTTTCATGCAATAGCACTCCCATTCAGACTACAATATCTAACATGTACTGTTTGTGTGGCATCAAAATTTGCAAATTATTTTCAAGAAAAGGAGAAACTGATCAAAAGCAAATATTACTATTGATGAACTGATGAACTGAAATGATTTTTTTTCATTTAATTTCTAATTTTTTAAATTTAATTTCAGTTAAAATTGAAATGACTTAACATAAAGTTTTTGAGAAATTGATCATGTTAAAAGTTATAATTAACCTTAATTTATGACATGGATGGATATGAAATATATGATGAATTCCTTGCTTTTTTATAACCGTATTTCATTAAAAGATAATATAATACATGTAATTATGGCAGCTGTAAATAGTGGTGAAAGCTGAAAGGCATTGGCGAGTGCCATCGGTGAGGCACTTGCCAAGATGGCAAGTCCTGAAAAATTAAGCTGCACACACTGTATGAGACCATTCCCACCGATATTTAGATCGACCTATCCCCCTGGGGAGTCTCACTAGATTGCTATCGGCTTAACCGGCTTAAATGTCTGTCCCACCTACTAAAAGCTGGGAGGGGGTAATTAACTTTTGTGGGCTGTAAAGGTCCACTGAAGGCAGGTGATAACTTCACTCATTTACATATTATGTATATATAATCAGTCATCATTATCATTCACTTGGCTTCAGTCTTGCATGAATATTTATCATTCTCTGTATAACTAAGTAAGCTTGGGGCAAATGCATATCTGATAAGTAGAAACTACTGCATTGCAATTAGTATTTAAATCAGTTGCTGCCACTGTGGCATGCAGATAGATTCCCTGAAAGATAATGTGTATAAATGCTGAATGCTTGGACTTAATAAAGGACTTTTAGACTTGGAACTAAATATGTGAGTCTGTGGTTATATTCCCTCTCCCATGCATCAGTGACAAGCAAAATATTAGAAGAACCTGGGTAGGATGGGACATGGACACCTACATAATGGCAAGCTCGACCAGGGTCACTGCGGGGGAGGGATACAACTATGGATCCAACTTTGAAGATGAGTATGTGTATGATGATGATGACTGGGATTCTGAAAAGGACTATAACATTAACGGCAGACTGGTAGAATGCCTGTCCAAGCTAGCCGACTTGTTACAGAGACAATATGGCAGTTTGCAGCAACAAAATAATGACATTACCGCAGAATCTGAAATGAAACCAGAAGACGTTAAAGAAAGAAACCAAGGCAAAGTAGATTAATTATTAGAAAAGGAGATGGGAACTTTGGACGAGGCACAGACAACTGCTTTTGAGGATGAATGTATGAATCAGATGAAGTTTGTAAAGGAACATGATGTAGGTGAGGAAAAGGATGGGAATGAACTCTGTGAGGACATAATGACTATAAACGAACAAGAGGTAGAAAAAGGAACTGATGTTGAGAAAGGGGAGAAATGTGAAAGGTATGTCGAGAAAGATTATGAACAAGAGCTAGGATTGAAAACTGATGATGATGATGATGACAACGGATTAATCGGAAGTGAGAGTAAAATGGGTGAACTGAAGTATTATGAGAAACCTGATGTAGTTGAAAAGGCTTTAACAGATGATGTAAAGAATACGGATAAAGGACTTGATGATGATGATGACCCAAAGTATGTGGAAAAACATGGTGTAGAAGAAAATGCTGTAACGGATTATGTAAAGAATGCTGATGAAGGACTTAATGATGAACGGATGGAAATGGATTTTTCTAATTTCAAAAATACAGACAGAGACAAACTTACTGAAGTAGAGATGAAACAAAGTGCAGGTGAGGAAGAAGTTGAAGAGAATGAAGAACTAAGTGCAAGTGAGGAGGTATTTAAAGTTGTAGAGAATAAAGACAAACAAGGTTCAGACACAGAAAATGTTTATGAGAATGCAAAAGGATGGACAGGTGTAAAATGGGACTTTCACAGAGACACCAAAAAGGTGCAGAGAAAGTTTATGGCAAAGAAAGTAAAATGGACACTTCTTCCACACTGCAAATTAAGATATGATTTTTTTTTTCAGTTAAAGGATAATGCATCAGTTAGAGCTGTACTGTAGGTTCGGAATAATGAGATATATGGGATTTATAGATATTTTACACTTGGCTCTGTATTTGATATACTTGTTACAATGTTTTAAGTAAAATTGCACCAAATGATTCATGACCTACATATTTGAAAGTAATAAGATAAATTATGTTTACATATAAGGTTAAATTGAATTATAAAGAATATGTGAGAGTAGGTTTTTTATTTAAAAATGGTAAATTTCCAAAATGTGGGGAGATTCCCAAGATATGTATTATAGAAGAAAGAATATAGTTTCACGATATACCTAATACTGAATTGTTTAACTGAGGAGATTTTAAATGTACAGTCCATTAGAAAAGCTGTTATTTAAACCATCTGTATGATAACTGGACATTTTTTTTTCAAAATATTTAGGGAGCATAAACATTCAGATTTAATTTCATTAGAATAATGACGTCTTTGTACAGCAATGGAATGGATAATGAACTGAATTAATTACAATTGTTAGCTAAAGTAATGATATTTGATAGAATAGCATTTTGATTTATTTTTGTAATTGAATCATGACATAGGTATTTTGTATAACTATTTACCTGTTAAAATTTTTATCTTTAAGCATTCTGTGGAATCTATATTTCAAAATATTATGTAACCATAATTTTTTCCGTGGGAAAAGAAGGAATATGTAAAGGTCCACTGAAGGCAGGTGATAACTTCACTCATTTACATATTATGTATATATAATCAGTCATCATTATCATTCACTTGGCTTCAGTCTTGCATGAATATTTATCATTCTCTGTATAACTAAGTAAGCTTGGGGCAAATGCATATCTGATAAGTAGAAACTACTGCATTGCAATTAGTATTTAAATCAGTTGCTGCCACTGTGGCATGCAGATAGATTCCCTGAAAGATAATGTGTATAAATGCTGAATGCTTGGACTTAATAAAGGACTTTTAGACTTGGAACTAAATATGTGAGTCTGTGGTTATATTCCCTCTCCCATGCATCAGTGACAAGCAAAATATTAGAAGAACCTGGGTAGGGTGGAACATGGACCCCTACAGGGCGCTCAGCTCCCAGAAGCTGATAGCAATTTAGCGTGTACCCCAAAGGAGTTAGGTTGATCCAGATGAATCAATCTAAATCTGTGGGAACCCAGTCTATGACAGAATTAAAGAAGAAAGGACTTTCAAAGGAAAAAACCTTTGAAAAAACAAACTCATGCCATTGTAAGGGCCTCTATGTATATTTATTTACAAGAGTAATTCTGTTCTCCTCTATCAGGCCTACCCAACTACCAGACTCGGCACCTAAGGATCCTGATTTAACCGGTATATCGGACCACACTACCCGTTTTCAAGGTGTGTGTCAGATCGCATTTCGGAGTATCAGCCAGAACACCGACAGGATGAGCCCTGGCATGCTCGGCTGTCACCTTGATTGGATATTAAAGGGATAATAACTCTTCGTTTCGGCCAAAAAATGAATTTTCCTGGAGTAAACAACAATTTTCCCATACTTACTAATGGTTAATGAATCCATTTTTACATTCAAAGTTAGTCCCTGGTTTTTTTCTAAAAAGTTTGGTTTTTTGTTAAAATCTCTTAAGAGATTTTAACAGAGTATAGCCTTCAATGGAGGTCACGTGGTCTAAAGACAAGCTCGGATATCAGAATAAGAGCTATAACTGCCGTTTTTGTGGTAAAAAAGAATGTATTATATTTCTGTGAGTTCTTCACAATGTTTTTATTGTGAAATATAGATCTCATACGAAGAGTTATTATCCCTTTAAACGTTTGTAGTAAAATTGCTATA